AAAAAAAACTGCAACGCTTCGATCCATTTTTGGGCAGACTTTTTCCTCACCATTATTCTCATTTAACAACCGCTAAGTATTTTTTCGATTTGCCAAAAATCCCATTGTATCTCTTGTGTTATTTTTGGCATTTCATATCTTGAGACTTCCAGTCTACATCAGAGCTCTAACACAGGGGTTTTATAGGAGTGAGCTCAAACTAATGGTAAGACGCATGAATCAGAAAAGTTTGTTATGCTTAAAATCAAAATTCTCAACCTTTACTTCAATATAATTTACCTCATCGAGTCCTACGTAACAAAAACATCAAAGGCGAACAAGCCCAGCATCGACAGTATATAAAATTTGAAGGAATTATGAAGAACAGAGGAAAATTAGAGTTGCCAGAAAAAAATCGGGTTTCTTAAACCAAACGATCAAATACATGACTGTTCTGATGTAAGACCCACTGTCCTAGATGATGATGTTGCATCTAGAAATCTTCTCATCATTCAGTCAGCTACTTTAAAATAAATTGATGAGGATTTGAGACATCAATAAGTAGAAAGCTGATTCGAATGTTTCATTGCAGATGCTCTGGTCAAACATTACCTCATATCTCGAAAGCACTGCATTCTGTGAACGAGTCGTTTCCGGAGAAAGTCCGTATCTGGGATTGCCACATAACCGTCATACCTTCTGATATGTTCGATCAGGTGAGCGATATTGTTTGACTTCTAAGTAATATATCACAAAATATTAATTAATTCCAGTAAGAGATATATCTTAGAGCTACTGAGTGGCAGTCTTTAAAAGAACCAGTAAAACTTTCGACAGTGCTATGTTTTAAAAATTTTCGAATTAGATGATTTCCTAAATCAAGGTCGTTTCTATGTTACTCGGAATTCTTCTTTATGATATCCCATTCCATGCTAGGGCTACCGGACTAGGCTTGCGAGGTTCATCCGAACAATAAAGTGCAAGGCAAATTGTTGTATCACTTTGCCAGGGGAACTACAATTTAGTAATAGTTTAGGCTTGTTATGGCCAGTACACTTTCAGGTCTAGCTTGATCTAATATCCGTCATTATTCTTATTTCGTGATTTACAGTGAGAAGGACATTCTTCATATATTTATGTCAGTGCGTATCATACGATCACGTCTATGATTCTCACCATATGAATTATATCTTTCCAACAGAGTTTAATTTTGAGAAACCTGATGTAGCAATTGTTGGGGCGAGGGAAGGGCAGAAGAGACGTTGCTGTTTACTCATAATATGTTAATGGGCCATTTCTTTTATTTGCGACTTTTACCATAAATTTCCTTTTAAAGCACTCAGATCATGATCCACGCATCTTCACACTCCCGAGAAGTAATTTATTTTTTACGCGCATTTGGATTATGATGGAGGCAACTCCTAGCTTTGCCGTTTGTGCTATATAAAATGCGTTCGTGTGGGCATCTTTATATTATTTTTTTGCAAAGTAGCTAAAGCGTATAGATGCTTTCTTCGTGATTTTCTTTTGATCAGTAGAAGCAAATTGTAAAGTGAATTTTGCTTTCTTTCTGCACCTAACAGTTATGAAAAAGGAATGTCGTGCAAAAAGTGGTGAATTAGACAGAGAAGCAAAAAGATCAAATCTGCTCCAACTTTCTCCGAGCATTTTTTTTACCTCCACCTGACGAACGCACCCTATCATCCCTAAGTAATTAAGGATAGCGGGGCTGCATAAGAAGTTTGTCATTTGAATCCGATTGTAGTTTCTATCGAATAGTGCTTTCTGCTCAACTTTAGTTTAAGCTATGAATAGCACTATAAATTGCTATTTAGTGTTACATAGGAGAAGATCATTATAGCGGTCGATATCACAATTTAACGCCCCAAATATGAATGTAATAAAGCACAATAAGACGCAGTACACTTGTCACTTCATAAATCCTGTTTAAGGTGAAGCCAAAGTACCTATCCATAGAAAGGAGCTTTTTGGCTCTCCTACGCGAAAACGCCTTAGGAACGATTGGGCCACGGCTTCATGGCCTCTACCTCAGGAACAATCATCTCAAGGGCATAAATCGAGCGATGCTCCAGGGACTGACGAGTCTTGCAGAGTTAGATCTTTCGGGTAAGCTGCATGCAACTGCTACTAAAATCTTTTGCGTATTTATTGTGTTTAAGGAAATCGAATCACCTCTCTTACAACCGGAGTCTTCGATCTAACACCTGATTTACGTGAATTGTCATTAAACGACAATGGGATAGCTATGATTGAGGATGGAACTTTCATGAAGTTGACATCTTTGAAGAAGCTGAGCCTCAGTGGAAACCAGATCAACACCATAACAAAGTATTCAAACAATCGTTTGAGAAACATAACATAGATGCAGGGTGATTGTTTCAGAAATATGTTCAAAGGACTTGACTCTTTGGAGGTGCTTAATCTGCAGAACAATAAGATCACCAGCATTGATTGGTCGGCTTTTGCTAATTTGAAGCAGCTAAGAACACTTGATCTAGGCACTAATCACGCCAGCAATGTAAGTTTTTTTTGAAGTTTTTCCCATGAACACTTCTTGAAATTTCATTTGAACTGTTTAAAAGAACATCACATGCTCAATCTGATCTTTTAATCAAGGAGAAATGATCTAAAACACTGATTGGATATCGACTTTTCGGAAACATTTCGGAATTTAAAAATCCTTCTCTTAATTGAGATCTTAAGGCACATTCGCAAACATATACTTGTACGAATTGTAGGAAATCAAAGACACAAAACATCGGGTTTTTCTTACCAAACTCGGTTGCTTGATTGCGCTTTACCTTTAAATGTTTAAATATTGTGTTAGGAGACTTTATTCCTGACAAATCTGATAGCAGTGCTTCAGGAAGTAAAGTCAGTCTTAATATAATAAACGCATGGGATCTGATTACTGCGAATAAACCTACTCTTACAGAATTTACATTTATTACATTGTTACCCTTTTGTTCGTAAACGTTTTATTACCACTTTCTTCATTCAGGTTGAGATACGCGGATTAGAAAATCTCCAAAAGCTTTTCTTGAATAACAACAGCATCAATTCGCTGAAGAGCGTTAGCCTCAGGTAAATTATTACGTTTACAACTTATCTCATGTAACCCAAATCTTCTTTGCAGAGATCTTCCGTCGCTGATACTGTTATCACTAGATCGGAATTCAATCTCGGAAATTGCCGACGGAGATCTGTCCGGCTTAGCGAGAAGTACGAGATTGGAAAGTCTAACAATTGCTGCCAACAACATCAGTCAGGTATGTAGAACTAAATTAAGTAAGCTTTAACAGACGAATATTCGAAAAAGTAAAATGGGATCTAATAATTGATCAAAATGACTCCTCAGTAGACACGAAAATTAGTTATATGTTTTTCTCTTGAAAAAATATTAGTATCAATCAAGTTCTAATGCGCAATGCTTATTATGGTCGCACGGATGAAGTTGGCATCAGAGATTGTGCGACAGCCGCACTCCAAAATACCATTTCTTGAACTTTGAATCACAACTGCTCTTTCTTCATATTATTTTTTTCAATGACTGCATTAGTGAAATCGTATTCTTGTGATAAGACTCATGTAGATTAAAGTCCTTCATCAATTAAAATCAATTAGAGATGAGAAATTGAGGGCAACGAATTGAAAAAATCAATGATTTCAGATATCGCAACGAGCCCTGTCTCCTGTTCAGCACCTCAATGTATTGGCCATGCAAAACAACCAGTTGACATCTCTGACAAAAGGTAAGCATTTATGCAACCAAAATTCCAAGAAGACTTTCCGAGTATATGCTTGATTGCAAATCGAGCCCACCTTTACTCGGTTCCATTTGCGATACGAGTCAGTTAAGTTATTCCAGACGGTCAATCCTACCTTCGTCCGCTACGACGTTTATCAACGCTTCTTATATCTGGAAATCAGCTTCGCTCAATTGGTGAGCACGATCTGCCACGAACGCTCACTGTCCTCGCGGCTGATCACAACCTTCTTGAAAAGGTCAGGCGCACTTTAGCTAAGAGGGACACTTTTAGCGCATTAAATAGCGAGTCCTTGGCCCTCATGAATGAGTTTATTGTAGATTGACGTAAAAGCTTTCGAGGGGATGTCATTGCATAAGCTTTTCATCAACAACAATAAATTGCCATTCCTACATCGACACACGTTCGATTCGATCTCCTTCGACACTCTCGAGGCCATTGATATCACATGTGAGTTAGCCGAAAAGATTTCTTGGTACGAGGGTAGAGGACAACTATGCACGGCTTCAAA